ATATATATATATATATTATGATTTTTTGGAGGCAATTTGATTTAAGATGGCCGCCACAGCTAAGCAACGTAAGCAGACACAATAAGGGCTGAAACTCTGTCAAAATTTGCAAATATTGAGTTAAAATATGTTCTGTTCGTAGCTGAGATCAATCCCTAACTGATACTGAGCACTAACTGCTTTTAACTATTAAAAACAACTCTGTTAGCAAAATATCTCACGATCCAGTGAGAGAATTTTGACGTCCCTCAGTAAATATGGCCCTACAGCTAAAACTGCCACAGCGAAATGGCTTTATTGTAGCTCATACTGTCGTTTTTTTTAACATGAAATGACCTCTGTGCTTTAAAGGTGTTTAATGAGTAAGTTTTTCTACCTGCTGGGTCGACCAGTCACAGGCAGCGACACCAGATGGAGACATTTTTCAGCTGCTTGTAACGACCCCCTGAATGCCCATATCAGAGCTGCTTTTGCAGCCAGGCCGTCTGTAATACAGTGATGAGATGGCTTTGATGGAATATAATTCAGGATGAATCAGAGAGGCAGGATTAATACTCTTACACAGGGGGAAAAAATATAAATAAATAAATAAAACTCGGGCTGAACAAACTGAAACGCTTCAGCAGTTTTTTGTTTTATCTTTCTCATGCGTACGTGGAAATAAAATGTCACCTCTGCTGCATAACATCTCGTTGCTTTGATGAGAGGTGAGGCTGCAGCGTTGTGGCGCTCTGACTCGGCTGATTACCTTTTTGCGAAACGTCGTGTGAACCCCTCAGAGGCAGATCCTCAACACGGGCAGCTGCACGCCCAGACTGTGATCTGATTATGACAAAGATTCAGAGGTGGGTAGTAGCTACATTTACTCAGTAACATTTACTTGAGTAACTTTGAAAAAAAAAAAGTACTTTTAGGAGTAATTCCTCTCAGGGGCGGAGCTAGACTTTTTAAGGTGTGGCCAAGGTGGTTTTTAGGAGGGCCCACGGCTAATTCCAAATGGCTTTAATTCTGATGTCGTAAGAAATATTGAGCTAAAGTTTTGTGTGACCATAGCTAAGAATGATAAAAAATAAAAATAAAAAAAAACATGATGATTGTTAACCTGGCCTTTTCCTCCCTACGCAGTTTCACTCAATTTTAGTTTCCCTTCTCTGCTCCGTCTGAGATTTCTCCCATAGACGAGGATTTCTCTGGTAGAATTTCAACCGGGCCAATCAGCGAACAGAAGGAGGAGTTGTGAACGACAATGTTTATTTGTCTCTCGAAGCCTGCAGCGTTCATTACAGCCATCTTATTCAGCTCAGTATGTCTCTCTTCCCAGTACGGTATGGTTGTTTACAGCGCACGCAATTTCCAGTTAGCGTCTTAGCTTAGCTTTCTTCACGGTCGAGTTGGCTCACTGCATACATCACAGCCAAACGTTAGCGATTGGGTAAATCAGAGCCACTTGTTTTAAAATTCAACAGAGGCCACGCCTCCATTAAGAAATCATTTCTCAATAACCGAGGGTCCAGACCTGTTGTACAAAGCAAAGCAAAGTGAAGGACAAGGGGCTGTTTTTTTTTACTAGGCTAGATGAATGCTAGCCACAACTTATTATTCAGCCATTTTTAAGCATGCTCAGCTGAAAATGTACACAGAAAAATTAGAGAAGTCTTTAACATCTAAATGTAACACCCAGTTTTAAGTTATTTTGGGGTGGCCATTTAGATGCCAGAGGTGGCACTTGCCACCCCGGCCACCCCTCTGGCTCTGCCCCTGGTTCCAATACACTTGTAGAAGGTGAGCTTAAAGTGAATTAAGCTTTTCCCACATCTCTCATACACAAGGTTATGAGGAAACTTTTACCAA